TTTAAACCAGGAAAGTGAAGCCAAAAAAGAGAATTCAGAACATGTCCAGCTGTGTTTGTGAAAAAAGAACGTTCTTATGCCTCACACTGACCTGTTCACACACACACTGTATGAACTGTAACATATAACTAGCTATTTTTGTGCGTCCTAGGTGTGGTTCAAGAACCGGCGTGCCAAGTGGAGAAAGCGCGAGAGGAACCAGCAGGCAGAGTTATGCAAAAATGGCTTCGGTGCCCAATTCAATGGACTCATGCAGCCCTATGATGACATGTACACGGGTTATTCCTACAACAACTGGGCCACCAAGAGCCTAGCAGCAAGCAGCCCACTCTCTGCCAAGAGCTTCCCATTCTTTAACTCAATGAATGTAAGCCCCCTGTCATCCCAGCCCATGTTCTCCCCACCCAGCACCATCCCCTCCATGAACATGGCCTCTAGCATGGTGCCCACAGCAGTAGCTGGAGTTCCTGCTACGAGCCTCAACAACCTGGGCAATCTCAACAACCTCAACAGTCCCTCAGCACTCAACTCGGTAGCAGTGACCGCCGCCACCTGCCCCTACGCCACCACAGCCAGTCCCTACATGTACAGAGACACCTGTAACTCCAGCCTGGCCAGCCTGCGGCTCAAGGCCAAGCAGCACACCAATTTCGCCTATCCAGCAGTGCAGAACCCCGTGTCCAACTTGAGCCCCTGTCAATATGCTGTGGACCGGCCAGTATGAACTAGAAACTGTGACTCAGTCAACCAGCTGTAAACTCACTGCTACCCCACTTCACATCTCCTTAGTTCCATCTGTAACGTGCCCGACGCACAGCAGACTGCCAGCTTGTGTTCATGGCACACAATAAGAGTTATCACCACAACTGACACAACAAATAGACGTGTTCAGATGGACCACTGCGCTTTGTCGCTGAACTGACCAACTGCTTCAAATGATTTTTAAATATTATTGTTCCTTTTCATTTTTGCCTTCTTTTGAACTGCATGATTAGAATAAATGTAGAAACCAAGGCTAAAGAAAACAAAGATGCTGCAACTGGACGGCTGCTGGCCCACAAAAGCCTCTGAGCTGCAGTCTTCGCTGCAAACACAACTGGAAGATGTATATAGTTGAATTTTTCTGTTTGTTTTGTATGTGAAAAATACATCAAATGTAGTACGGATGACAGGAGCATGTTCTACAAATACAAAGGCCTAGTTTGATGTTCTATGAGCACATTCTTTAAGAACTTTATTGTGAATTCCTCGACCGTTGAAGGATCATAGGTCAAAGGTCGGCTTGGAGAGGTGACAGGAGGTTAGTCCTGAAATACGACCTCGGATTTAAACAAACAAACACACACACATGCACCAGAATGAGCAAGAAGTTTCAAGTAAATATAAAAAGCCATTGAGTATATAGATTTGTGTGGTGTTATACAAAGAAAGTCCATGACTGTAAACATGTATGTAAGAGTGCAGTTGTCATAACAGAAAACCAAACAAAAAACAAGCGAGCTTTCTTCCTGGTGTAGCTTTGTCTCATTCATGAACCAATTAAAGGATCCGATTCTACGAACCGTGGAGAGCATCTATCACTCCGTTTCTCTCGTTTCAGAGACGTGACACGAGCTAAAACACGCTGTTCTCAAAGCAATGTGCATGATGTGATGGAAACACACTCACCTCAGCAGCAAGCAGCAGGCTGGAAGAGAGTTCGATGGGAAATAGTGCTGATATGATATGTTTGACCTACAGTGTGAGTGGTGCCCACAGCAGATCCAGTAACGCTGAGAGAATTCACAGAGACGCTGCCAGTTTTATATAAAGGCCCCGAGGAGCAGGGTGTCCCAGCAAAGTCAGAAACAAGGAGTTTGCATCAACATTTCCACTGCTGTTATCTGACTCATCCAGCTTTAAATCACAGGGTGACTTCATCTCGAGTGGGTTTTACATGAGTGAACGTAACACTGAAGCACTGTGAAACTCCCAGAATTAATATGAAGAAAATGAAGACACTTAAAAAATCATTTTATATAAAAATTAAACAAATATTCTTTTGATTATGGACCGTGAGGCAAATACAGAGAAAAATCTCCATGAATATGTTTTAACACAATTTTCAGCATGTTTTTGTGACAAAGTCAGAAACAAGGAGTTTGCATCAACATTTCCACTGCTGTTATCCGACTCATTCAGCTTTAAATCACAGGGTGACTTCATCTCGAGTGGGTTTTACACGAGTGAACTTAACACTGAAGCACTGTGAAACTCCCAGAATTAATATGAAGAAAATGAAGACACTTAAAAAAATCATTTTATATAAAAATTAAACAAATATTCTTTTGATTATGGACCGTGAGGCAAAT